CTAAAGATAGACATGGAACGGCTGGACCGATTTGGCTAATTTTGGTCTTGAATTATTTGTGGAAATCCAGAGGTTTAAAAGGTAAATAAATATGAAAATGCTCGGAATTAAATAAAAATATTATAATAGTTTTGTTTTCCCTTTAATGTATCCCACGTCGGGCGGATTCCTTTTGTTTGTTTTAATTTTATTTTATACAAAAGTTTCGGTCTTTTATTTATCGATTGAGGCACTACGAAGTCTGCCGGGTCAGCTAGTCATAAATAAAAAGTTCAGGTTAAAAGGCTAATTGATTGATTGATTTCTACTTTTACATATTCGACTTTTTGAAGGTGATCCTGTCAAGAAACTTTCAATGACAAACTGATCAAAGCTCTCTCAAATACCTACCTCTTGACCTACACATAAACCTATTTAGACCAAAAAGCATAAATGCGGTCGACATCCCGCGATCTCTTGAACAATAATTACTTGAGCATAATTCCGTGATATTACTTCAAACTTCACACCGAACTCACAATGTTCCCCTTAATATCATACCACCCACAAAAGCTGTTATTTCGTTTCGATCTCTCAAGGGGTCGTTATAATTAGGCGTTGTCCTGACAACAGCCGGGTCTCGCTCCTTACGAGGCGTGGCGACTCGTGGAAATTTTCAGGAAACTCATACATTATTTATTAGGTATTTACCTCACAAAGGCATCTTTCCTATGCTAATTTTTCAACTTAGGCCACACAGACACGCGATCAATACCGATTTTTCTCTCAACGTCGTTACTAGTCGTGTGGTGTAACTAAATCTTTTAAAATCTTATACATCAAACAACGTAATAAAAACCTCATTATTTTATTATTTGTCAATACCTTCACTAAGCACAAAAATGCTTGTTTTAGCTTTATGTAGATAGAGAGTGTTAAGATATAAGGTCCGTGATTTTTGATCCATGGAAAGGATAAGAAAGACGAGATGAGGAATGGTATTGAGAAGAAGTAGAGGAAGAAGAAGAGCTGAAGGTCACCAAGTGCCTGCTGACTACGTGCCAGGAAAGGATCCGGAGTTTCTTTGGGCACATAATGCGATCCCCATTGCACAGCCTGGGGAAACTCATCATTCTCGGACAAATGGAAGGGAAGCGCGCTAGAGGAAGAGCGCCAGCTAGATGGGTGGACCAACTCAAGGAGGTCACTGGAGGCCAGTTACAGGGAGCGGTACATATGGCGCAGGACCGAGTGGAGAAGATTGACATACAGTCACGATCCTCAGCATTGAGGGAACTACCAGAAAGAGGAACAGACGACCTGATACTACTGGCAATAAATTATTCAATGCGAATACAGAGGACTGGTAAATGTGGCCTAATATGAGAGCTTTACTTCAAGCACTAAAGATAAGCCGATGATAATTAAAGTACTTCAAACCTTAACACAAAAATCTGCCGGTATCATTCTCATGACCTCTACACGGGTGCCGGGACAAACTATAAAACCTAATCCGAGAAACAAAAGCATCAACAATATTCAAACAACAAAATTCAAATTATTAGAGTCTCCTTCGAATCCCGTTGGTTTAGTTATCATAATCCACAATTTCTTGGTCAATTTTATGGTAATGTATGATTTAGTACTGCTGCATTGAATAATTCAGATCGGAATGACGCAAGCGATTGCAAAAAGCGTCATGTTTTGTGGAAAAAAAAAACAAAACACATTTAACATTTAAATCTAATCTGGTTATGCTTCCGCTGCGTGTTCGAATGACCTAGTGTACTTTAGTACTCTATACAATTACCCGATAATTAAAAACGTTCCAATTTAAGAAAATAAAACCGTGTGTGACTTATTTATGTGCGCACGCACGTAAAAAGTTATATTGCCGTAATTAATATATCTAATATATAAAATTCTCGTGTCACAGTTTTCGTTGCCATACTCCTCCGAAACGGCTTGACCGATTTTGATGAAATTTTTTGTGCTTATCCGGTATCTATGAGAATCGGCCAACATCTATTTTTCATCCCCCTAAATGTTAGGGGTAGTCTACCCCTAAATTTTTTATTTTATTTTTTAGACAAAAATTTTAATTTCTATTTTTTTATGATACAACATACAAAAATACATACAATCCTCAATTTTCACCCCTCTACGATCAACCCTTATTTTTTATTTGCTAATTAAAAACTTTAAATTTTTTTGCGAAATTTTGTTTTTATTTTGTCATGACGTAGAATAAAAAAATTCATATTACTCTGAAATTTTCACCCCCCTACGATCAACCCCTATTTTTTATTTGTTAATTATAAACTTAAATTTTTTTGGCAAGATTTTCATTTTTATTTTTATTTTGTCATGAATTAAAATAAAAAATCTGATGTTACTCTCAATTTTTCATCCCTCTATGATCAACCCCTATTTTTTATTTGTTAATTATAAACTTTAATTTTTTTGGCAAGTTTTATATTTTGTTTTGTCATGACTTAAAATAAAAAAAAATCATATTACTCTCAATATTCATTCTTATACGATCAAGCCCTATTTTTTCATCCCGATTAATATATTTTTTATTCTATGCACAGATCCGCAATAAGGTTGCAAGATGGCAATCAAATATTATAATTGAATTGTAGTACGATAAATTCTTATTCAGAGTTTATAATAATTATGATTTTTTTTAAATTGAATTTGATCTCCCGCCCTCGCCGGTCGACTACTGATCAACTATCAATCGATCAGCTATCCCCGCCAGGTGTCACCACTCATCCAGCAAACATCACGTAGTATAGGGATGAGGACGAAGCCGGTCTCCTGTCTTACTTACTCACTATACATCATAGATTATACACTTAATATATTTGAGAGCTATACAATACTATACTTTTTCAGCCATGTTTTTTTGGTTTTGTTTGTGTATCAATAGTATGTTCAGTAAGTCTGAGAATCGGCTACTATCTATTTTTCATACCCCTAAGTGAAAAAGCAGGCCGAATGCAGGCAGCATTGGAGGAAGCTGGTGCAAAAACTGGAACAAGGTGGTCACGACACTCAGTAATGAGGAAACGATAAAGAAAAAAAAAGTGAAAAGGGTTGTCCACCCCAAACATTTATTTTTTATTTTAATTTGTTGGATTTTTTTTTGTTTATTAGGTATTATGTGGTTAAATGGGGGTTTTTTTCTACAGTAGAATTTCCCTAGAAATCTTATTTAAGGCAACACAACGTTTGCCGGGTCAGCTAGTATCTATATATTAATACGTGAAGCAAAAACTTTATATCCCTTTTTACGAAAATTGCGCGGACGGAGGAGTATGAAAGTTTCCACACTTAAAGAGAATATAGAGGAAAAGTGCACAATGCAAATATTTTTTTAAAATAATGCATAAAAGATACATTAAATCAATAAAAAAAACATTACACACACTACATACCATGTATTTGACGCACACACGCATGCTTTTTTTTTAATGTCAAACTTTAGTTCTTGACGTCTGTGGTCAAAATTGAGAATAGATTAAATATTGTTTGTCTTTATTAATATTTTTTATAGTGTAGCCTTGGCGAAATTTGTGATTATAGTATGTGTACAAACTTACAATTCCAATTAATTATAGTCGAATTTCGACTACTGCGGGACCTCTAGTACATATAAACACGTAACTTCGTTAGATACTAGAAATACACTTCGAGAATTCAGTGGCTAACGGAACCCAGAGACACAAATGTCGCTACCCACCTCAACCCTTGAGGCCGAAGTCTCAACTGCGCCCTATGACGCTGGGTAAACTGTCATTACTGGTGGTAGGATTTCTTGTGAGTCCGCACGGGTAGATATCACCACCCTGCCTATTTCTGCCGTGAAGCAGTAATGTGTTTCAGTTTGAAGGGTGGGGCAGCCGTTGTAACTATACTGAGACTTTAGAACTCATATCTCAAGGTGGGTGGCGGCAATTACTTTGTAGATGTCTATAGGCTCCGGTAAGTACTTAACACCAATTGGGCTGTGAGCATGTCCACCATCTATGCAATAAAAATTAAATAAGCCCTCTACACAGTGACTTGCTTGAATCTATTGTGATCCTAAATCAAACTGGTGCTTACATACCAGTTGTTAGCTCCCTTGTATAAGAAAAACTTTAAGAATATAAAATAAAATAAAAACCTAGAAATACACCGTTACTGGCATAGAAACAAAACTGAAGAACCTCTGATGGCTAATTATAGGTAAAACTAGACTTTCAAATGCTGATCTGTGGGTGTATGAAGATATACAATTGAACCTTGACCTGGTAGTAAATGGACATCAAATAATACATCTCAGCAAAATTATGTATATTTTATGCTATAGTTGGCTCGGTAATGATTTTTAAGTAACATGAAAAATATATGACAGGATCACTTAATAATAGCTAATTTGGTTTGGTGATATTGACAACTAATATTATGAGTCAAATAATGTAATGAAAGACATGGGCTTTACATAACGACCTAAAAATTCCTTTAATAACTTAAATGGCATTATAATTTTTATGAGTTATGTAAGTAGATAGATCACCGATGGACATGTCAATAACTTGTCCACTAGTCCATCCCGTGAGCCATAGCTTATAATTATAAAGAGATATAAAATATGTTTAGTAACATTTTTTTAACCTGCACATTGTGCACCATTTATCATTTTAATTACTCACAACACACTTTCATAAATAGACATTAAAAAGTACATGGAAGAATTAATGATAAAGTATTGTTTTTTTAATTTTATTAGAAAAATAATACTTAATAGTGATGCATGAGCCAAAACTGCTGTATCATTAGGACGCAGTTAATGAGATATTCATTGATTATTACTATTTTCCAAATATTGTCACCTATCCTATGAATGAGTAAAGATCTGTAGAATCCACGTGGTTCCGCTAATCAATTAAAAAAATGGAAATGTCCATTATCATAAAATTACTAAACTTATAATAAAAATTATTGTTATGTTTACAAATTATGTAGATAACAAAAAAATTATAATAATAATATAAAAAGTTATTCCACTTAAATATTGACAGTCATTCATTATCATTAAAATATGGTACAAATATAAATAGATAAAAATCAACACAATACACAGTTAAGAACAACATTGAAACAGTTGCCGACTCATTCAAAACTACCATTAAGGTATGCGTGCTGAAGTAAGCTCCCTCCGGATTTTTGCCACCATCTCTCGCAACTCCTGGGCTAGAACCCGAGGGAGGCCAAGTGCATCAACAGCTTCCACATTCCTCAACCGCACTGCTACACATAACATGGCTACTCTCCTCAGCTGTCGCACCGGTACAGTAATATTCCAATTAGTCCTAAACAAGACCTGACCTACAATAGGAGGTGGTCGAAATATCTCCTTATTGTTTATCACGAAGACGTCTGTGGTTGCAGCATCAGAAAACTCCCAAGGATGGGTGACAAACGTATTAATATCGAAAAAGTCAGTCGGGTCGAGATTGATGTAATGCTGCTTCCTACCTTGGAAGTCCCTCCACCAGACCGCCACTGGCCTGGAAGAACGGTTCGTGAAGCGGATGAATGCCCGTCGCGACGACACAAGAGATTTCACGACCACTCGCTCTCCTTTGTCATTTACTTCGTAAATTAAATTAGAATCGGTCGTCCCGACTCCGTACATTTTGGTAACCCTGTTGTGCCAATCGAAAGCTCTTGCTGTCGGCTAACACATCTGTGTGTATATTAAAAATAATTTTATGCACTTCCGAACGTTCCCGGGTAAAGATTTAGTCTGTCAAGGTGGCAGCTCTGAGTGACAACTCTGTGTTTTGTTTCCGATTTCAGATGTATTGATTTACAATGGCTGTGTGTGTTGCTGTTATCGGAAAAGATGTAAGTTTTTACACTTTCTTTTCATTATTGCAACTAAGAAAAAATGTTTTTAAGTCTTTGGGATTTATATTTATCATAATTGTCAAAAATGACTGAAAATATTCAAAGAAAATCCACAAAACAACACTGTTAACAAAACTCATTAGTGACGTCATTCATTTGGCTACGTCAAAGTTGACAATGTCGTCAATACATAAAGCGAAGGGATACGGAACATACGAGAACAAAAGCAGTAAATAAAAATACTAACTCAACTTAGTCTCAGTCTCAGTCAGTACTTTAAAATATTAAGACAAATATAGATTAACACTATTTAGTACAATTTGTATCAGGGCTTGCAAAAAATATTATTTACTAGAAATGCTAACTTGAACTTGAAAGCATACAAAGGAGTTACGCGTATTAAGGATAAATGGGCAAAAAGCGGCGGAACTCATGCATGTGCTCATGCATACCCATTCATATGATGTAATAATAAAGGATTAAACTCAGCCTAAAATGAAAATTGCACATGAGTAAAATAGGTGTGCATAATTTGATACCATATTATATTGATAATATTGTTAATTTAAGTTATTTATTTGAATCAATTACATACGTTACAGTAATGATTATAAAACTAGAATTTATATTTTCAATACAGTGGACACTCACATTTAGACCACTAAAATATAAATAAAAATATAATAATTTGAAAACATAAGTTTTAATATAACTGTAATTATCTACACCAGAATACATCGCTACTATTTTAAAGAGGGGAGTTATTAAAAGTTCCTCGTTCATGCTACTAACCGTATCATATTTTGTATTACATATTTTAATTGTTTAAGTTTTTTTTTCTCAGCAACAACATTCTAACATAACTCCGAAATTCGTTGTATTGCTTTCAGAATTCGCCGTTGTACATTGGTGGCATCGGCAACGACACCAGCAGCGACAATGAGCTGTCCCGGCAGTGGCTCGTGCACACGGCGCTGGACGCCCTGGAGGAGAGGCTCACCACTGCGAACCCTAACAATTCAGGAACGAACACAACCACTGCCCGAACTGATCTGCGGGACTTGTATTTAGGATTACTGTTTTCTACAGATACTCATAAAATGTAAAATTAAACTAAATTAACCAATCTAAATTAAATCAAGCCGAGTAACGAATATAAATAAAAATACTTTTCTGTACGCAATTAAATGTGGCCGAACATTGATATTTCTTTCTGAAAATGGAACTGGACTGCCAGAAATCATTAGTTATTATTATCATTACCTAGAATATATATAAACTATCTTTTTTTAGTTACGGCTACGTCACAAATACTCGTATCAAACTAGTTCTGGTGACCAGCTCCACGTCGCCGAGCGGCAGTAACATCAGGGATGCCGAAGTAAGGACGGCGCTGCGCAGGCTGCACGCTCTGTACGCTGACGCCATATGCAATCCATTCCATTTACCCGGTGATCAAATTACTTCACCGTAAGTTCTGTGCTCTCTCTTTAACAAAATCAGTATTCTTGGTGGTAGGACCTCTTGTGATGGTGGTAGGACCTCTTGTTTTGGTGGTAGGACCTCTTGTGAATCTGCGCGGGTAGGCACCACCACCCTGCCTATTTCTGCCGTGAAGCAGTAATGTGTTTCGGTTTGAACGGTGATGGCAGCCGTTTTAAGTATACTAAGATTTTAGAACTTATATCTCAAGGTGGGTGGCGCATTTACGTCGTAGATAGCTATGGGCTCCAGTTACTACTTAACACCAGGTGGGCTGTGAGCTCGTCCACCCATCTAAGCAATAAAAAAAAATACACCGATATTCATTATAATTGAGTTAACCAAGATTTCTTCTTAATAATTTTTGCGTTTACGCTTGCATTTTCGGGTTTGGGTAGCCATTTTTTAAATACGAATTTGCACAAACATATCTGAAATATCGTTGAGCATGCTCAGAATCTTTATGTCCCTTTATGGATCTTCGTTCCAAGGAAAATAGAGATATAATCGTACATTCTCTATTTCATCGTCCAACACTTGTTCTAATTTATGTTCTCTTGTTATTCGAATTTATTCACTCGAAATTTAGAAGCTTTTAGAATGAAAATCTCTGACCTTCAGTCAAACATAGGATTTTATTGTTGGTAAGTTTGTTGAATAAAATATTGGTATTCAAACATTACCTATTTAACGTTTTACAGGAAATTCGACAAGCAAGTCAAGAATATAATGCTCAACAATGTTTGAACCTTGAAGAAAATTAAATTATTTAAAGTAGCTAAACATTGTCTGTATTTGTACATGTCATATTGTTAAATAAAAAGTAAAATCTAACGTTCATATTTAGTGTTTACTCAAGTAATGATTTTAAATATTTATTATAGATTTCATTTTTGTTTCATTTAAAAGTGCTTTCCACTATTGTGATATCCAGCTATTTGCAAAAAATAAAAAGAATAATTGGTATTTACACTAAAGGTACTACACTAAGGCTATTGATTGTTTAATACGATGCTTTGACAATATTCGAACTGAGTTTTGGTGGATGCCACGAGTCGCAGCGTTTATTGTCATCCGACAACTCCGACATCCGACGACTCGCTTTGTTAATGTGCAACACCTTGTCAGTTTGGCACTTGAAGCATATCTTTTTTTTATTGCCCTTGTAGGCATACGAGCGTGCGAACCACCTGCTGCTGAATGATTACCGTCGCCCATGGACTTCAGCAATTCCAGGGGCGGAGCCAAGCCGCTGCCTACCGTTAAGTACTCTCCACAAGCCTCTTTTAAAGAAGGGTATGTCATAGCGCTCGGGAAACACCGTGGAGGGGAAGTTCATTCCAAAGCCGGATGGTACGTGGGAGCCCCGGCCCAGAGATATCTTCGACTACGGCGTCAGAACAACGGTACTTGGGCGTCTTTGTGGGTCGTTTGTTTTTGTATTGACGCATATGGAGATACTCGACCATTTCGTGGTTCACACGAAGACTAATTCGAGAGGTTTCCTGAACTTACCTATTGGAGGCAGCTGACTACGTCTATAAGGTGCCGTTTCCTTTCTCCTAACAGAGCAAGGTCCGCAGTATACCCTATCATCTTATGATGCTCATGCAGAGCAACCTAGGGCCCCTAGTCAGTCACAACGACGAACTTTAAGAGTGGTTCAATAAAATCAGTTTGTAGATTGTTTTATGGTTTCAAACCTTTTGCCTAGTTAAATGGACAAGGTAGACAAAAAATGATGTCAAAATTGTCAGAAATACACCAATTGACAGATTTGACGTTTCTAGTTCTCTTTCAAAAGTTACTGAAACGTGAGGTTTCTCCGGTTCAGCGCTGAACAATTTTTGATTGAAAAGTTGTTTATCTCGGCCGGAATTCAACAAGCAACATGGTAAGTTACCTTCCCACAATTCAGTATGCATGTAGAAATTTCAAAATTTATCTTTACTATTAAAGTACAAACAAAATAATTTGAGGTTAGATGTCGACACGTGTTAACAATGCAATGGTAGCCTATAATTTTCCTACCTATTTGTTGCTAATTGATTATGAAGTATAGCTATGTTTCTTAGGGTTTCGTTACATTTCATACTTTTTAAATAAGTATCGAATTTTAGTTTGTTCAGTTTTATCATTTGGCGCCACAAAAGTTTTTCTAACACATTTTTAATGTGTAGATTAAAGCTTCAAGATGTACCCAGGATGTACCTCCTTTAACACAAGTGGAACTAAGTAGTTTTAAACTAGGAGTTTCTAATGAGTCCGCTCTATCAAAATGTACACTATGTACGGGCATTTAAATTAAATTTGCCTTCTCATTTTATCGTCTAAACTAAACATTAAACAGGTAATATATAATATATAAGCGATAGATCTAATGCTCAGACAGAACAAACTTCACCACAGGACTTGAATGAACAATTTATAATTGGTAGAGAGAAATTATTATCACACCATGTAATCATTCGCCTTTAGTTGGTACTACCGTGAGTCAACGAGGAGGTTTTTTTATTTTTATTGCTTAGATGGGTGGACGAGCTCACAGCCCACATGGTGTTAAGTGGTTACTGGAGCCCATAGACATCCACAACGTAAATGCGCCAACCACCTTGAGATAGAAGTTCTAAGGTCTCAGGTATAGTTACAACGGCTGCCCCACCCTTCAAACCGAAACGCATAAATAGGCAGGGTGATGGTACCCACCCGCGCGGATTCACAAGAGGTCCTGCCACCAGTAAAATGTTTTTAACTAATCAGTGAAACTTGGGCAGTCTGTTGTAACTAACAGCGTGAATAATTATAGTATAAACTACTCATGAGTCATTTATTGCATGTTTATGGTACTAAAATAGAATTCTACCCTGGAGTGCTAACAACAATTTCACTAAGTTCAATCATGATCAAATGTTCAGGAATGCACAGAGGAGGATAAAAAACATATATCGATAGGTGAAAGGTTATTTGGTTTAAGTGATATTTTTGCTACTTTACAGGAGAGCCATTTAAAGTTTAAAATTTGGAACAAATATCATGACAAAAGAACGTCTTCAGCTATTTGATTGGAGTAAACTTAAATGGAATTCAATTCAAAACATGAAACTGTTGATGCTAATACCAAATAAAGATTCCTTTAATTAATTATAAAAATAAATATAGCATATTAAGTGGAATGTTGCTTAAACAAAAATAGACTTTCATCCCTCAATATGATCAATTTATTTTATAACAACTAATCTTAGGATGCATCAGTTCCCACCTTCTGTGACTGCACTGTCTATTTATTTCCATTCTAAAAAAATATATTTAAACCTGTATGGTTCAATGAAATACCTAATAATAACTGACTCTAGTCTTTAACAACTGGTGTGACAATAAGATGTTGTGTATTTTCAGGCAGCCGCTGTAGTGTCAGGCAAAGACATCGAGAAACCCCAGGCAGAGGTCTCCCCTATCCACCGCATCAGGATCACTCTTACTTCACGCAATGTGCGCTCGCTCGAGAAGGTCTGTGCTGACCTAATCAATGGAGCCAAGAAACAGAAGCTGCGTGTAAAGGTAATTATATCTGAATTTTAGTACCATATAGAATTGTCATTGTTTTTTTGTCATAGACCTAATGAAAAATCTTACAGTGTAGATTCTCATTTATTATTTTTATCTTTGCTCTGAACTGTATTGTCTGAAATTGTAAAATAATGAAAATAATAATATAATTTAAAATAAAGCATTATTATATATTTTGACGTTTGAAAGGCAAACGTGACTAAGCGACAATGCGTGAACTTTAGACTAATTTAAAGTTGAAATACCGGAAACAAATTCAATTTTAAGGAATCTAGCTGTAGGATTGAAATGATTTTAATAGACCTAGAAATGTATATTTTTTGCGCATCGAATATGGTTATTGCCTATCATTTATGTACAAAGCAGTTATTGTCCCTTAGTCACGTTTGCCTTCCAAGCGCCGTTTTGTTTTTGAAATAAGTTTTTACTCTGTTCTAAAATTAACATTATAATATTTTAAATTTCAATTTAATATTTTCTATCAATGTCTGACTACTAATGTAAGGGGATTGGTTGAATTTCTTTATAAGTAGACTTAAATGTCTTAAAAAGATATAAGGTACTCGTAGTAATAGTCTGTTGGGTCTACTGCGCTTAGATGAAGACACTACATTATATATTAGTGTTGTGTTCACCATGTAAGCGCTACAGAAATGACTGCTCAAAGTGCAGTGTGCAAGTACTTAGTAATGTATTCTGCTCATAGGGTAGCTACATTTTATAGCTGTAATTAATATAAGAAACTGTAGAAAAGTATGAGTATGAATCTGCTGTCCATTGAGCCATTGTATTCAGATTTTTTGGATATAACAGGAAGACTTCACGGTGTGGGTCAAATTGTTCTATAGATTGATAGTCAAATCAACCCTCAGACACAGCCCACTGAGTTTCTCGCCGGATCTTCTCAGTGGGTCGCGTTTCTGATCCGGTGGTAGATTCTGCGAAGCACGGCTCTTGCTAGGGTTCATGTTAGCAACGTCGTCAGGTTTGAGCCCCGTGAGCTCACTTACTAGTTAAGGTTACGCTGGAATAGCCTCTCAAGGCAAAAAAAAGTCAAATTTTATTGTTTGGTACTGGTGGTAGGACCTCTTATGAGTGAGTACGCACGGGTAGGTACCACCACCTTGCCTATTTCTGTCATGAAGCAGTAATGCGTTTCGTTTTGAAGGCAGCCGTTGTAACTATACCTCAGAACTCATATCTCAGGGTGGGTAGCGGCATTTACACTGTAGATGTCTATGAGCTCCAGTAACCACTCTAAAACAAGGTGGGCTGTGAAAAAAAAAAGCCTATCTAAGCAAAAAATAAAAACTTCCATAATAATAAATAACTGTTTTTAGCTCTGTGATAACCGTTAGTAACTAAATGGGCTTTGCTGATCCATTCTGTCAATAGTACATAAAGTAATACTTTAATTTCGTTATGGACTGTTGACAGTATTATATTATAACTACTAAATCATTTTTATAATGAATACTCAATGATGGTTCCGTTATCTTTATTTCCAGGGCCCAGTCCGCATGCCAACCAAGATCCTGCGTATCACCACCCGTAAAACTCCTTGTGGTGAAGGTTCAAAGACCTGGGATCGTTTTCAGATGCGAATCCACAAGAGAGTGATCGACCTACACTCTCCCTCTGAAATTGTGAAACAGATCACCTCAATTAACATCGAGCCCGGTGTAGAGGTTGAGGTGACCATCGCCGACGCGTAGGCAGAGCCGCCAATAAAATATTTTTGAAAAAAAAAAACTATTTTTACTTGAATTGCATAGGAGGGACCGCCATTAGTGCGTGCAGACCCGTGAAATATCATTATTAATTTATGTTTCCTGTTCAAAGAAAGTTAATTTCAGAAGCCAGCATCAATAAGACCTAAAAAAAAGTCCACTTACTTTGTTCAAACAACCTAGAAGACTGCAATGAGTCTTCCAGATATTTCTATGGTACATTGACATAAAAAAAACCAATGAAAAAGATAAAAGACGAGATTAGCAGACGTCAGCTGAGAAATTATCGTTTTGAACCAATCCGGATTAATATTAAATGAGTTTAATAATAACGCGGCGTGAGCTTTTCTACACTTTTCATGCAATATATCTATGACATGCATTGCACATCCATAAGTATGCATTGCAATGTGACTAACAGCACGGGGAATGCGCTATATACATAATATAGCGTATTGCAAAAGACGAATTCAATTGCAAAATTCTGCCAGTGTCTCCCTTGAGTTTATACAAAGCTCTTTCCGCGAATCCTGATCCAGCTTCAG